CGATCGCTAACCTGTCTGTGCTGACGCTTCTTCTCCTCTGCTTCCTTGTGTATTCGTATGTGCGCGTATCTTTGGATATTGAGGGCGAAGCTTATAAGTATATTCCCCACAATCGAACTAATAATCCCGATCAGAGACGACCAGCGCTGGATCGGAGTACCGCCCTCGTCATCCGAGAAGAAACTCCTGGATGCGATGTGATGTAGGACAGCATCTCGATTCATGAACGGAGTAACAGTGGTGGTGATGGCTGCGACATCTGGATTGGAGATGAACATCGCGGGCTTGTCCCGAAGGATCCGCCTCTAAGACGTAATGGCCAGAGGTTTGGGGGTCAAGCGCATAGGTGCTCTAAATCATCAGCACGATTGAAATGATCGATTATAAGTCATTGCGATGAGTACAGGAATCCGAAGTTGAATCTGTAACATCAGTTGTAGGGGGAGCTGCCTAAGTTGGGATGGGTAACACGGAAGACTAGCACCGCCCGTCGTTCCGTCCCTCCCTCGTCATCGCTGCGCTAATCGCCGCGTGGAATTATATTGCTCCTCCAACCCGCGTCGCGACAAAATCTCGCCACGCTTTGCACCAAATCCACAAAATGAGTGACAGCGATGAATATGAGGTTGAGGGCCCAAACTTGGCGGCTGATGACCCCATGCGGGCCTTTCTTCCAACCTCATTTGGAAAGAAAACCAAGGAGACTGACGTTGCGGCGCAAATCGACAGGACAAAAAGAAACGTCGAACCAACGAGGCCGGCGGGCCAAATCGAAGACAGCAAGTACAAGAAGCAAGAGCCAGCTGTGAAACAGGACAGCTCGGACGATGACTCCGACTCAGAAGACGATGAAGATGACGACGACGAGTTCCCAGTCTCCCACGAGCTGGTGCTCAAAACTCACGACCGCGCCGTTACTACTATATCCCTCGATCCGTCTGGCTCTCGTTTCGTCAGCGGGTCTACCGACTGCACAGTAAAACTTCACGATTTTGCGGCAATGACTCCTACAACTCTTCGCGCATTTAAGAGCGTAGATCCCAGCGCTGGGAAGCCGTCAGATAACAACGAATCCCACCCCATCAACCATATCGAGTTTAGCCCTCACTCTGGCAGCCAATTCCTTTGCATATCAGAGCATCCTCAAGCGAAAATCTTAAGTAGAGATGGCGAGGTATTGACAGAGTTTGTGAAGGGTGATATGTACATTAGAGATATGAACAACACGAAAGGCCATGTCTCGTCGATCACTACTGGCACTTGGAGCCCTACCGACCCCAATATTATTGCCACCGCTGGAACGGATAGCACGATTCGCATATGGGATATAAATCATAAGAGGCAACATAAAGAGGTTCTGGTCCACAAAGATCGAACAGCTGGGTCTGGAGGAAGAACCAAAATGACGGCTGTCGTGTGGGGAAGCCCGAAGCAAGGCGGAAACAACATCCTGGTGGCAACAGCTATGGATGGAAGTCTAGTGATGTGGAGTGGCAATGGACCTCATGCGCGGCCAGCCGGGGAGGTCCGTGGCGCCCATAAGCCTAATACAAGAACAGGAGGCGTCGATATTAGCCCAGACGGGCGTATGATTGTCACGCGAGGCGGCGATGACTTGATCAAGCTATGGGACACTAGGAAATTCAAGACTCCAGTGTTAGAAGTCGCTCACCCGTCAACTTCGGACGTATACTCTCTATCAACCATCAAATACTCACCCACAGGCGCCAACATCATCACTGGCTCCAGCTCCGGCCACCTCCATATCCTGAATTCAGGAAATCTCAAACCCGAACTCGTCACACCTGTCACTCCCGGCTCGTGTCTCATCTCCGCTCTATGGCACGAGAAGCTGAACCAGATCATTACCTCCTCAGCCAATGCCGAAGTACATGTCCTCTACAACCCCAATACATCCTTCCGCGGTGCGAAGGATGTTATGTCACGGGCTCCCAAAAAGCGCCACGTCGATGATGACCCCAACTTCACCACAGATCAGTCCGCTGGCATTTCAGGCGACACCATCATTAGCCCCAGTGGAATCCTTCAGAGCGGACCAGCAGCGTCCTCGTTCGCTGCGCGCCATCCCACCATTGGTTTGACGGCGAGTGGGAAGAGCAGGGACCCTCGACGACCGATGAAACCTGCTGTCACGCCGTTTATGAAGAGTCAGCCAGACGAAGCTCATATCAATTCGACTATACCGCTGAGCAGTATGAGAGATGAGGACCCGAGAGAGGCGTTACTGAAATATGCGGAACTGGCTGAGAAGGACCCCCTATTTACGAACGCATGGAAGCAAACGCAGCCAAAAACTATGTATGCTGAACTGAGTGATGATGAGGCAGAGGAGCCGGATAAGAAGAAGGCGAGAAGATAATGTAGAGTCAGGGTAGGGCGCAAGTGAACGAAGGGAAAGGTGTAAAATAGGAGTACCGCGGTTGGTTGATATTTTGGAGTTTAGCATATATTTGGCGCATAGATACCATCAGTTTGACACACTGAAAATAGAATGGATAACGAACAATGGGATTGTCATTTGAAACATAACATCATATCTTGCTGCTCCGTGGCCGATTTGCTCATCGCCTTGCGTCTTGAGCTGCTGGTATGTTAAGGTGCCAAGTAGGACATCTCTTCTTACAGGGCTATATATTTACGGAGATTCAAACCCACGTCTCAAAAGCAAGTATCAGAATCTCCAGCCAACCACATGTGACAGCACATAGTCTTAATGCCGTCTTCCGTTCCGTTCCCTACAATATAGTGACACCATGACCCAGAACTATTGCCGTGAAATATATCCGACCTCAGAATCTCCGGAGACTAAATACCAGGGAGCCGAAATAATACGCCCACATAGCGCCGGCAACGAAAGAAGGGAGTTGAAGTCGCACATCCATTGGTCTAGTGTCGCCTGATAGAGTTTGGTCTGATCTTTGGTTGGAGCGCGGGGTTGTGCGGGGTCATGCCGCTAAGGTTGTAAATCCACAAGTTCCGGTTCCCGACCCGATCTCTTGGATGAAAAGTCCGTTCATAACTTTACTATATGAACAACCCCGGATTCTCCCCACGGGGTTTCTTGTCCACCCGTAAGCCACATATTTGATGACAATTGTCAAAATATACAATTGCTCTGTTGAACAATGTCTTTCTCACGATCCATATTGGATTTTCTCGTCACTCCTTGGACACCAATCGCTCTTTTCGGACTATATTTCTTGATTCCATACTTCACTACCTACGGATATCTGCGTGGTATCCCGGCCCCTAGTTTTGCAAGCTTCACCAATCTCTGGCTACTTCTTCAAGCTAGGCAAGGAAAGCGCTTTTTATCTGTCCATGCTGCCCACAAGAAGTACGGAAAACTTGTCCGTATCGCCCCGAATCATGTCTCCATCGCCGACGACTCCGCCATCCAATCTGTCTACGGCCACGGCAATGGTTTCTTGAAATCTGACTACTATGATGCCTTTGTGTCCATTCAGCGTGGTCTGTTCAACACCCGCGACCGAGCCGAGCACACCCGGAAGCGCAAGACTATTGCTCACACCTTCTCCACGAAGTCCATCTCCCAGTTCGAGGAGTACATGACATCAAACCTCTCTGCGTTCACAAAGCAGTGGGACAGCTTCTCTCAACGCTCGCATGGAGGGTTCTACAAGCTAGATGCCCTGCACTGGTTCAACTACCTTGCATTCGATATCATTGGCGATCTCGCTTTCGGGCAACCCTTCGGCATGGTCGAAAAGGGGAAAGATATCGCTGAGATCCGTAAAACGCCAGATTCTCCAGTTACCTACGCCCCGGCTGTCGAAGTCCTCAACCGTCGCGGCGAAGTAAGCGGGACCATCGGATGCCTACCAAGCATCAAGCCATTCGCTAAATATCTCCCTGACCCATTCTTCTACCAAGGCGTTGAAGCTGTGCAGAACCTTGCTGGAATGGCAGTCGCCCGAGTCTCAGCACGTCTCGATGCCGGACCTAAAGGTGATGATCGTGTTGATCTTCTTGCCCGCCTGATGGAGGGTAAGGACGAGACAGGTGCCAAACTCGGCCGTTCAGAATTAACCGCAGAAGCCCTCACCCAGCTGATCGCTGGCAGCGACACCACCAGCAACACTTCCTGTGCACTCCTCTATTGGGTCCTCAAGACACCAGGTGTTCTCCAAAAGTTGCAAGCCGAGCTTGACGCTGCTCTCCCAGTAGGCACTGTCGTGCCACAATATATGCAGGTTCGTGACCTCAAGTATATGCAGTGTGTTATAAACGAGACTCTTCGAATCCACTCGACTTCGTCACTTGGGCTCCCTCGTGTTGTGCCTCCTGGCCCGGGGGCCCGCATATTGGATCAACATTTCCCTGCCGGCAGCGTCGTCAGTGTCCCGGCGTACACCGTGCATCATTCCACGGAGATTTGGGGGCCAGACGCAGATGAGTTCAGGCCTGAGCGTTGGGAGACGGTGACTGAGAGACAGAAGGGTGCGTTTATTCCGTTCAGTTACGGACCTCGTAGCTGTGTGGGCAGGAATGTGGCGGAGATGGAGTTGGCGCTTATTGTGGCGACGGTGTTCAGAAGGTACGAGTTCGAGCTGTACCAGAAGGTGTTGGAGACACGAGAGGGATTCTTGAGGAAGCCATTAGAGTGTATGATTGGCGTGAGGAAGAGAGCGAATGTATAAATAGGAAGGTGTTGGATGTCTATCTGCCAGCGAGTTATAGCATGCGCTAAGCCTGTCGTATCAATGGAGTATATAGCAAACAATGAGAGAATATTTTGAACAAGTTGTACAGATAAGATGTTGTGCAATATAATAAGTAACCTTCCTTGTGGATATTATATCGGTAGACGGTAGTCGCTAGACGGTTGGAATGGTACTCAAGGTATGTGAAAGGGGTATCCCATCCTCTTGGGCAGATTTATACATATCTCTATGGGAACTAATAAACTATATAGAAACTTTATATGGCAGTATATGCGTCTAATCTTTAAATTAAAAGGTTGGATGGTCTAACGGTAAGATGTCCGCCTCCGTAAGCAATCGATTTTGGGCCATTCAAGGCGATTTTGGGCTAACCCCTGCATCTCTTCCTTGGATACCAAGAGCGGTTGGGGAACGGTGGGAGATTCCAGTTCAAATCTGGATCCAACCATTTTTTTCTTTATTTTTTGCTATTTTTTTGGACTGGTTTGATTCGTCATCTTTGGCGTGGTGACCATAGACGAGGGGATTTGTGACACAAAGGCTTGGTATACAATGGAGTCCCTAGGCCCCCTTTGAGTTTATATTTCACGTTGAGAAGATGATCGTGAGTTCGACTACTCTTTGGATCGGCCTAGACATAGACATGGTTCTTTGATAAGAACTATAGTATTTTTAGTCACTATCAACATCCATCCGTTTCGAATCATAGGGATAATAGTTTCCTTGGTGGAACGTAAAGGGGTCACAACCCAAAAATGCCAAGGCGAAGACCTTAGGAACGCTGCAGCTGCCCACCCCTGAGACACAATCTTCCAATTGTCCGTAACTAGGTCCAGCAATAGTATCGTTGTTTTTAGAACTTTGAGCTGTGGCATCAAAGCTGGAGTACACTTGATTATATGTGGTTTGCCCGTGGGGGAGATCAAACTTCTCTATCAATATAATGAATATATTACTTTGATGTGTAGCGCCGCATCTACATATGCGTAATACAGTTTATGTTGTGTACACACCCGTTGCTCTCATGTATACAAGTTTTATAAAACTTCTTGCTATGCTGCAGGCATAACGGCCATCTGTAATCTTGCGCAATCAAATCGGATCAGAGTCTTGGCCTTGAGAATGATTTTAATCGTATTGCATGTACAACGTTGCCTGAGACACTGGGGTTTAAATGGCGTTAAACTGAACATTGAACCATTCACCTCGCATAGCTCTAATGATTCCAGGACATCAGATGAATGTACGTTAGTAAGAATGCTGATATAAAGCAAGGGATGGCTCCGTTCGCCATCACCAGAATTTGAGTTGAAGCTATTGCATTGGACAAGACTCCGCAAGCTAAATCCAAGCAATGTACCACGTTGGGTGTACCTGTGATAATTTCTATGCCATTAGTCTGACGTGAGGTTTCACGAACATTCCAAAAGAGTATAAATGTCCAGAAATAAATGCCTTGTGTTTATCTCTACTAGCTTGGCAAATCGGAACTGTTATTCTAGAATCCCGTTGGTTTCCCCTTTAGATTTTCAGAGCTTTAGCGGCACCATGTTGTAATACATGAGCCTCCTTGCTTCCAACGGCGAGGCCTTTGCTTATTGTAACCCCATCTTATATCTTGGCACTGGTACGACTACAACACATACCGTGCAGTTGAGAAATATGCCCTCCCATCCATACATATTTAGAAAAGCAGGATGTTACAATATATTCCAACATGTTATCCAAGAGGACGGCCTGAAGGAACTACTTAACTTCCAGCTTATGCCCATTCTTTCCAGTTAAGATTACTCCAAGGTCATTATCATCTATATTCTGACCAGACCTCACTTGCTTAGAACTCTTCATTCAACTGTGATGATGGGTATCTCAACAGAAGACGAAAAGTCACCAGCAGGAGCCTTAGCTGTTGAAGATAAAAGTATTGATACCCCGCCAACTGCTACCACCGAGAGCATTGATAGCAGAGATCTTGATAGAGCGTTTGTCTACCTCGCTGGCCAGAATCAGAGCCATCTTGATCACAATGTGGACCTTAAAACTTTGCGACGTAAGATCGATTGGCGGATCCTCCCAGTTATGAGCGCTTGCTATGGGTTGCAGTTCCTTGACAAGGTTCTCATCAACGTGAGCATAGCCCCTGAGTATTGGAAACTATCGCAGCTGAATTACGTTCTTGATGACAGTATTCAGGTGTTATGGGTATACGGGAAGAACTTCACCTTGTTGGGAATGACTTCTCAAATGCGTCTTCTGTATTCTACATATCCTATTTGATTGCGATGGTTCCTAACGGTTAGTCCCCCACCTTCAATTTTATGACTTAAGTTCTGAATTTGATACAGGGTATATACTCCAAAAGGTCACTGTGACAAAATGGCTATGTATCCTTGCCGTCCTATGGGGTATTGCCACAGCCTGTACTGCGGCAACGTTCAACTATCACTCCCTCTTGGTAACTCGCATCTTTGCCGGACTTTTTGAATCGCCCGTCTCGCCTTGTATGATGTTGATAAGCAGCCAATGGTACACTTCAAAGGAACAAGCATCGCGGTATAGCTTCTGGTTCTGTGGTGCAGGGTTGGCCCAGATATCAGGTGCCTTCATCTCTTATGGATTCCAACAGGTCCATAATACCACTTTAATATCATCATGGAGGATTATGTATTTGACCCTGGGGCTTATCACGTCCTTCGTAGGGGTTGTAGGCTTCTTTATCCTGCCCAAATCACCTATGACAGCGAAATTTCTCACCGATTCCGAGAAGGTTGCTCTCCTTAATCACATCGCAGTCAACCAAACTGGCATTGAGAACCGCCACTTCAAGTGGAGTCAATTGAAGGAGATCGTCCTGGACATCCAGATATGGTTGTTAGTGGCAATGACTATCTCGGTATGTACTCACTATTACACACAGTTCGTAACTAACCCTCGATCCCCAGGTAACATGCTCCAGCGGCGTTATCTCCTCCTACTCCTCCATTGTGATCGCGAGTCTTGGTTACTCCTCCCCAAAAGCAGCCCTCCTCACTGCCCCGAGTGGCCTCGTCACCATCAGCTCGTCGCTCATCGCAGGCTTTGGGGTTCGTTACAGCTCTAACCGCTGGGCCTGGATAGCCACATTCTGCATTCCAGGCATGATCGGTGGCGCCTTGATGTCTTTCGCGCCTCACAGCAAACCGGTTGCTATCATCATCGGCACCCACCTTGTCTATGCTATTATCCCAACGCTGATGGTGACTTTCCAGTGGGCAATGTCAAACTGTGTTGGACAGACAAAGCGAGTCCTTGCTTCTGCATTCGTATCAGGAGCGTATGCAATTGGAAGCATAATTGGCCCCCAGACATTCCAGGATAGAGATAAACCGGAGTATAAGCCAGCAAAAATTGCGATTCTGGCTACTCAGAGTGGGGGCGCGTTCTTTGCGACACTGCTGTTTGGGTACTATCATTGGGCTAATAAAAAGAAGGATAGAGTAGAAGCTGCTTTGGGACCACGATCTGCGACCGGAGAGGGAAGGCAAGAATGGGGGAGCAAGACGGATAAGGAGAATTTGTCGTTCAGATATGTTTACTAGAGGCTGCGAACAGAGTCAGATGGTTTTCCATATCAGTTCCAATTGCCATTTGCCATAGACGTCTAAGAAACCTCATTATTTACAGATACTGGCCGTGTAAAACGAGTTTTAACATATGGATGAAAAAAAAAAAAAAAAAAATCTCATTGTGACAGCGACAAAACACCTCAAAGGAAGGCTCAGACCTACCTTTGTCGTCCGCGTTCAACCACAAGGCTTAATATAGCTATATGTTAAACGTCATTTTGCAAGCCCAGCTTTCATTTAATCGCAGCTCGTCTTTGCGCTTTGTTGTGATTCATATAATTCATGTTCAAACCATAGGTCAATGGAGGGTAAATTGTGTGCTTGGATTATGTTTTGTGTTCTTCGCCTCTGGGTATATTCTTGTACTGCCAACTGGCTTGTTCCCATGCCCCACAATCTCTCCCAGGAACAATAATTGTACATCGAGCAAGACAACCAAGCACTTTACTATTTTGAACAGAACTACGGTCGAGTGGCCACTTTGTGTACGCACACCAAAAAGTTATGTCTGATAGTACAATGGCCACGACTGGCGAAACCCTTCCTAGTATTGCTACCTTGCTGGCAAAAAAATTAAAACGTCCGCCGCCAGAGATGATGACAGTACAGCTTCCGCAGCCATCCAAAGAGTTTCTGGCACAGAAAGATGGGTCCAGAGGTAACGTCTGACCCTCTAGATATATCACAGCAAGCTAATTATCGCCAGAAATCTTTCTCATACATGATTTCTACGGATGCAACGTCAAGCTGTATCCTGACGACACAGTCGTAAAGTCAGGGACGAAAATACACCTCGATGAGAAAGATGCGCTAGATCTGGCAGAAGAACTGAACATACCGGCACCAAGAGCTCATGAGGCTAGTGTCGCGGCAGATGGGGTTGTAAGTATACGGATGGACTACATTGAAGGGGAGAGCCTCGAAGAGCTTTGGCCAAGCATGTCAGAAGAGGACAGGCAAAACATCTGCGGGCAGCTGCGAGAAATCTTTACAACTATGCAATCTGTCGAATCCAAGACTGGTATCATTGGGTCTTGCAACGGTGGCAAGTTTCGGGAGTGCAGGCGTATGGGCAACTATTCCGGCGGGCCTTTTCAGGACGAAGCAGGCTTCAATGATTATGCCACGAAATTGATCGGAACAACCCCAACAGATATCAACAAGGCTCTCCGCAGCCAGTTACGGACTGATCACCGCATTGTATTTGCGTATGGCGACTTGTCTCAACACAATATTATCATCAAGGATATGAAGATCGCAGGGTTGATCGACAGGGAGTATGCTGGCTGGTTTCCAGAGTATTGGGACTATGTCAAGTTCTTTGAAGTCCAAGCGAAGCATAAGGATTGGAGAGAATATGCGAAATATATTTTTCCTCGCGCCTATTACGATCAACTTGCAGCATACCAAGGGATTTTGCGGTGGGGTGTTCCGTAAGGAAGAGTCGGCATCATTGCTAATGCGTCGTCAACACCCACACGCTCACCCAGCGATCTATAAATACATGAATTAGGCGCGTCCAGCGCCCCCTTTTGTTACATCAATCATCTCATTGACAGATCTCACGTATTCTTCCCGCTCCACATATCTCCCCTGGGCTAGCAGATTCAGGGAATTGCCAGTCCATTCCTCGGAACCGAACGGCCTTGAATTGTCGATACGCGTCTGAGAAACAACGGAAACTATCTGGGCCTTTGTGGCGGATTTTCCTGCTCCCACAATCACCGGCTGTCGGAATTGCGTACTGGCGGAAGGGTAGTAGTTTTCTTTGACGTTGAGGGTGCGGTGGCCGTTTGGTCCAGAGAGGTGAATCAGAAACGGCTCCGAGCAATTGAACCACAAG